CATCTTTGAGCCAGCTGAGAGTGGGAGCTGGGACTCCCACGGCCGAGCACTCCAGCTCCAGTGGACTGTCTGCTGCTATGGTCAGCTCTTCTGGAGAGCTGGAGCTAGATATCTTGGGAGGCTCTGGTTTAGAGAATGTTTTGGCTCAGTTTTCAAAGAGTGCACAGTATGTCTTTAACTAAATACATTAAATATACAGACTGCTTTGGGATTACCTAACACAGTGAGGTTAAAGCTCTTGGTGCTGCTTCCAGCCTGGTTCCTAGCCACACAGCTGTAGAGGCCTGCATCTGAAGGAGCCACGTCAGGCAGCTGCAGCCGCATCTCCTGTCCGTCCAGCAGCAGGTTGCGGTGGAGGGACAGCGGCAGACTGTCCTTCATCCATGTTAGTGTAGGAGGTGGGACACCACGCGCCTCACAAGTTAATGTAACCAGCGATCCCTGGACAACTGTAACTGGCTCCACTGGTTCAACATGATCCACACCTGGGGCCTCTGCATGTCATACACACACACACACACACACACACACACACACATCTGTATAAAACCCTCAGATGAAAAATGCTTCATACAGTGTCAGCTCGAGGCAAGATCAGTAGCTGGTATGTTATGGTTGTACCTTGGACCTGGACATCATAGCTGAGCTCAGCGAGCCCAGCTCGACTGCGGGCCACACACGTGTAAACTCCAGAATCAGACAGCTGCACAGGAGAAATCCTTTTTCATAAAGAAAGGAAAGGGAACATTTAGCACAACCATTAACATGGAATCTCTACAAAATGACCATGTTTATGTTGAGCTTTCTCTGTCTAAACTGACCTCAGCAAAGAGTCACCAGAGAGCAGGCGTGTGCGGGGAGAGAGGAGCAGGGGGTGTCTGTTTTTCAGCCAGCTGATCTGAGGTGGAGGGTTTCCTGCCACCTTACACTCCAGAGTCACAGCGCTGTCCTGTGTGACCCTCACTTCTCTGGGCACAGCGGTCTCCCCAGAAATAGATGGTGGGACTGTTACCAATCAAAAAATATAAGTAAAACAAATCATACGGAAACTTTAGCACTAGACACCATTACTGAAACTGACCTAGTACAAAGAGGGTGTAGATTTTGCTCTCCTGTCCTGCTGGGCTAACAGCCAAACAGGTGTATGTCCCAGAATCTTCAGGACTCAACCTCAGCAAGGTTAGTGTGCTGCCATCAGAGGTTAAACTGCCAGGTTACAAATGCACATTATATTTTCTCATTAAAAGCATACAACACTTTGTCAAGTTCCCTGTCTAAACCAACATCAGTTTTCTGAACTCATTCCATGATTTTCTCATAGTGACACACACACATTCTCTGGCTGATGCAGTTGGAGTGACCATATAAACTGCTTAACAGCTGCAACACAGCTGCTCTTATTGTTTCCCATGATGAAATTAGCTAAGGCACTAAAGATGACTCCATTTGTCTGTCTACACTTCCCTCTGTAATGCGCATTATCTTTGACGAGAATGGTGATAAACATTCTAATTTCCCAACCATTTTGGGAATCGTGTTGATCGATTGGAAAATAAAACAACAAAAAACTAAAAACAATCAATTGCTTTTAATGAGGAAATTGTGCTGAAGGAAACAGCTGTATTGTTACTGTTACATAATCTAATTCTGTGTGCTTTTAGAGAGTGGTAACTGTAAATGACTTGCGTGATGTGGCGGGTGTCTGATCCCCCTAAAGTCACTCCGTCTTTCAGCCAGCTGAGGCGGGGTGTGGGGATTCCAGTAGCTCTGCACTCCAGGGTCAGTTCCTCTCCCACAGGTGCGCTCACATCAGATGGGTGGTTAGAGTCCAGTATGGTGGGCAATACTGAATATGGCAAACAATTATGTTTAAATGACACTTAAAATCATTCCTTTCATGGATGATATACCGTATACAGTTTTTAAGGATGAGTGTATCTCATTTTGCCAACAACTCTACCCTGCACTGAGAGCATGTAGTCTTTCTGAGCTTGACCCTCATTGTTCTTGGCCACACAGGTGTAGGTTCCAGCATGAGACAGAGTGAGAGGCCCCAGCTCCAGTCGGTTCCCTCGAACGGACCACTGCCACTGCAGACTGCTCTCTAGACAGCAACCGCATTCACATAAACTCACTGTCATACATGAGAAGTGCATATTGTTCCAATTACATTTATTATTGCCATCCTCTTACCAATAGGGGTTCTATCTTTAAGCCAGGTGATGCTAGGCACAGGGACCCCTGTGGCCTCACACAGCAGGGCCACACGTGAGCCTAGGGTGTAGTTCAGAGACTCCTGGGGAGGCCCAACAAGGACCGGAGGAACTGTGGAAATATACTTGTACAATAAAGCCATGCTTAGTGGAGAAAGTTTAAAGTGTTATACTGAGACCACAGCAGCGACATTCTCACCATGAACTGTCAGCCTGAATGTCCTGTCCACCTGTCCAGCCACATTGGACACTTTGCAGGTGTAGGTGCCACCATCTGCTATCTAGGAACCAAAAAAGAAAGTCACTGCACTGAGGGAGGAGGCAGTCTGAACACAGGCTGTAGGCAAAATGAGGCCTTGGCTTTCTCCTGTTGAGTCAGCTGGTGCATGGGATCTGAATCACATAAATTAATTTAGAACAGGGTTAAAGAAAGGACAAGTGCTATATCTTGTCACTTAAGTCTAGTAGTTTTCCGTTCACAATCTGTGTATTTTGTGGAATGAATGTGTAAAAGACCATAAAAGCCACTTCAGATTCTTAAAAAAAACAAATTTCTTTGGTTTGCAGTCTCAAACATGTATCATGTAACAACACTTTTTCTGACCTGAACTCCTGCGATCTCCAGCTGCTGACGATCCATCTTTAGTCCATTCCCCACAGCCAGTTGCAGCCCATTCTTGTACCATGTGACGTCAGGCTCAGGAACACCATGGGCTTCACATCGCAGGGTGACTGAGGAGCCAACCTGTGGGGTCACCGAGTCTGACTCAGCATCTAGACGGGGCTTCAGGGTGGGTAGGACTGATGTTTGCATACACACACAGAGGGCATGACCTCAATTTGATTGATTCAGAACTGGTACGATTCCCTCCTGAGCTATCCTCGGTCACAGATGGCTTGAGGTAAACAGATCTTTTGCTTAGACATTGTGTTGAGATTTGATCATCTGTATATGTAGCTGAATTGTGCAGATGGGTCACTGTGTGTCTGCTCACCATAAACACTGAGGTGAATAATCTTCTGGTCCTGGCCTGCCGAGTTGGTGGCTGTGCATACATATTGTCCTGCATCTTCCAGTGTTGTCTGTGGCAACTGTAGCATTTGGCCTCCTATCATAATAATAATAATAATAATAACAATAATAATAATAATAATAATAATAATAATCTTTAGACTCCTGACTTGTGAAATATTTGGTTATTCCAAGGGCTACCTGGCAGAATATGGATGCCACTGCTGAACTGGAGGACCTGCCCATCTTTGGTCCAGGTAATTTCTGGAGGAGGGTATGCTTGAACGTCACACAACAAGGACACCATGTGGTCCTTGATCACACTAACATCCTCCTCCTTTTGGCCAATTATTCTAGGAGGTACTGGAAGAGAATACAATAATTGAATTGTACAGGTGGAGAGTACAATTCAACATGTTTGTTGTCATAAAAGAACACTCAATAATATCCATATTAAAAGGCCTGAAAGATGCATACTGGTCCTTCTGATTACAGGAGAAACTGAATATAGAAAAGCAGTGGTAAAGCCCTTTGGGTTAAGGACTTTACTTACCTTGTACAGTCAGACTGAACAACTTCTCAACTGTTCCAACCTTGTTCTCAGCTACACACAAATACCCGGCCATGTCTGAAACCTGGACACTGACGAGCTGGAAGGTGAAATTTCAGTGTTTTCCTCTGTACATGTCCCAGATTAATCTGTTTACCTGCTGAAATTTGTCTAAAAGTCAAACAAAAACAAACCTGGAGCTGTGTGCTATCTTCGCTGATGTGGTGCTGTGAGTCTGTCTGCACTGGCTGCCCATCTTTCAGCCAGGAGATGACTGGAGCAGGGTGTCCAGTCACACTGCACTGGAGGACCACAGTGCTATTGACCACTGCTCCTATTTCCTCCATAAACTCCTCTGATGCTCCCATGATCACAGGAGGAACTAAGGAGGGGAAACATAACAGACATCCCTTTCAGAAATAGTTTTGTATCACTTACAAATAGCTACATTTTATTGCATATAATTTAATTACTGCTAAATCATGCACATGTACAGTACTTGCTTACCTAGGATCTCCAGTTCAAAGTGCATCCGGTCTTCTCCAGCTTCATTAACAGCCTGACATGTATACTTTCCAGCATCTTCTTTCTGGACTTGGGCTATTTGTAGCACCTGTCCTCCTGAAAGAACAAACCCATACATGCAACAGCACATTTATCCATGAATTTATGAAACCTCAGTCCTTCACAGCCACCATACTTCTGGTTTTATTGAGATCACACAGGAAGGAGTTTCCTCTGACCTGGAAGAAGCACCACCCCATCAGCAGAGCTAAGTTTTTGTCCATTCTTGTACCAGCTGAGCCTGGGCAGGGGGATGGCATTACTTTCACAAGACAGGCTGACTGGATGGCCTAGGACCACCTCCCGCTTCTCTACCATGCCCTCATTGTTATCATCATCATCCTCAGGTCCCACACCCCAGGCTGCTTCTCTGTTATTCACCCGGTGGAAGATTGGAGGAACTAGTAAGACAATAGCATGCTCGAGTCACTTTCTGTTCATTCAAAAGATATCCAAGACTTTTTAGTTTGAAAATGCAAAATATTAATTGTAATACAAGTAAAATATTTTAACATCAAACAGAAAATTAAGAATAAGTTTGCGCCGACTACCTTTTCTCCAACTATGAAAATACACAGTAAAGATAACACACCCTGAATGGTGATACGAAAGTCTCTCTTGTCCTCTCCTGCAGAGTTGGTGACCACACAGGTGTACTGCCCCTCATGGGACAGCGTGGCGTTCTCTATGTGGAGGAAATGGCCATTCTCCTGAATGCCAGCATGGAAGGTTCCAGTCAGCAACTAAAGACAAAGTAAATGCATCAGATGATCAACGATAGTCTAATGCTCCTTTGAGGAACATTAACTTTAAAAATGAATATATCAGTATCAGTGGCAGGCTTGTTAGTTGAACTACTAAGTGAACAAAACCTTTGGTCTGGGGTTTTAAAATACAAATCCAATGTTACATGGATCCAAAGTCCACCTAATCCTCATGCATCCTTTGTTTTGGAAGTCCTGGACACACAGGCATACCAAGCAAAAAAACAAACAAAAACAAGGCAATATCTCCATGATAGTTTGACCCTCATAATATGATTCTGACCATGAAAACCTACCCCTAGCATTTGGAATCACATTGATACCATTGTTTGAGGTTATTCAAGAAAAATTATATCTGACCAATGGCAAATTTTCAGGATCTAGTGCAGCAACTGTTGAAGATACTGTATGTTGAACTAATTGACCTTCTACAGGATCATTGGAGTTTCAGCTAAAATTCAATCTTAGTTGCAGGTCTGTAGCATTATTTGTTGTCTCACAGTAGTGAGTTTTCCATGAACCCTGTAAATTTGAACATTCTCAATCAGCACATTCAGAATATTACTTGGATCCAGATCAATCGCTGGTGTGTGGTAACTGTGATGGTGATGTTATCTTGCAATTTTTGTCTCAGCATTATAGGCACAGTTTATAGAATTAGAAGCAAAATATTGAAACTGGCCCTATCTCACAATGGTGAAGAATCCTGGATCCAGATGACCAGCCAGACTACAACTAAAATCTTATATGGCGACATACCCTACCTCTTCAAAAATCCATTCATTACTTTTTGAGTTATGCTGTGAACAAACAAACAAGCGCCAGAAAGAACATAAGCTACTTGGCGGAGGTACCCAAACATAAAATTACTGCGGGTCAAGGAAAAGAGAGTGGAGGTGATTTGTGCTAAAGAATTTAAATTCTGTTGAGCATGTAATTCACACTGGCTGCCAGCAGAGGTAGTGATTCGAATCAGTCTATTAAAATTGCCTTAAAATGTTGGTGTTTTTAGGAGATGCAGAGCTTGTTAGGATGACAAACCAACCTGTCCATCTTTGAACCAATGAACCTTGAGCTCAGGGAAACCTTTGGCCAGGCACGAAAGAGTTAAACTCCCATTGATCCGTACTTTTGTTTCCTGACCACCAAGTGTCAAAGATGTGGAGTCACCCTCTATCTGTGGTGGGACTGATGAGAAGAAAACAAACAAATAAATCATTAGCTTTCTGTCTGTCACTTTAATTTTTAAGAAGAATAAATGATGCTTACCAAGAACATTCAGAGAATAATGTTTGATTGCAGTGCCAGCTGGATTCGTGGCCCTGCAGGTGTAGAGGCCAGTGCTGTCTCCCTGTGCAGAGCCCAGTCGCAGAGCCTGCCCACCGTGGGTGTACGTCAACTGGGGACTGGACACGAGGGGCTGGCCGTCTTTTAGCCAGGTGATACTGGGTGCTGGTGAGCCCTCAACATCACAGAGGAGGACTGTGGGGAAACCCAGCACCACCGACACCTCTGAGGTCTCATTTGGGCCCTTGATAGTAGGGGGAGCTGGAGAAAAAGACCAAACACACATGAATGTTTAACAATTATCAGTAAGATTTTACTCACCTATAGCGCAGAATAAATAGACCCACAGGCAATTGTCATACTTCGTGTAAAAGACCCTCTAAAACAGAAAAGCAGTGTGTAATACCGGCCGATTTAGGTGACACAGAGCCCTGCATAAAGGGAATTCACTATGTGCAGTGTGGCCTATGTCAAATCAGGGTAGGTCTACACAGAAGTTAAATATGCATTATATTATTACTTCTGTTATTATCTATTATTAATTCTGTAATTTCTTTCTTAGAAAAACAGTGCTTGTCAAAATATCAAGTCAATATCATGATCTTTTTCTTCATTGTGTCTTGTCTTTAATTCTCTTTGTTTACTAAGTGTAGAAAGAAAATAAGTGGGAGTAGATAAATACCAAATAAATAAATGGGAGCTGAATACAGGCCAGTATGGTTGTGAAATGGGATGTCTTTTGATTCAGTCAGGAGTAAAGTACAGACCATGCACTGTGAGTCTGAACTGGCGCATCCGAGTTCCTGCGTTGTTACTGGCCAGACACTGATAAAGGCCCTGGTCTCTCAGTCTTATTGACTTCATCTTCAATACCTGGCCATCTTCCAGAAACTCCACATGAGGGTCTCCATCACGGGACAGAACCCTGGAGAGAGGAAGGAATGGTGGATCAAATCCATGCAAATAACACTGCATCTTGCATATACTGCTGAATATCACATCAATCAACTGTTAGAGTGATGCCTACTCTCCATCGCGGCTCCATTCCACTCTGGGCACTGGTTGCCCACTCACTTTGCACTGAAACTCCACTTCCTGGCCCAGTACCACAGTTAACTCCTGCAGTCGGGATGTTCCTGAGATCACTGGTGGAGCTGTGACAATGTACAAGTACACCAGAAATACACTGGTTTGAACACATAGTTTTAAAGCATTTATATGATCAATTTAATTACTAAATGAGAAGGTGAGATCCCAATCATTTCATATTCAAAATTACTGCTGGGAGACAACCAGACGGATGGATGGATAGACAGAGTACTTTATTAATCCCCTAGGGGAAATTTTAGAGTATTAAAATTTTATTAAACTTTAATTTCTCAGTTAACTACTTAATGTGGTAAGATAAGATAAACTGTACCTTATTGTCCCCTCAAGGAAATTTGTCTAGGGTTCACATCTATCCCCAACCATGCATCCTTAGTAAAAGTAGGTGTCTTACATTTGTGTTTTCTCTCAATCTATTTTCATATTGCTTGAATAGCGGTGTGAATGCAGGCTAATGTGCTCACCCTGCACCACTATGTTATATTTTCTCCTGGCCTCTCCAGCAGAGTTTTGAGCTGTGCAGACAAACTGTCCCGCATGTTCAACCTGAACTCTGTAGATTCTGAGCAGCCTATTCCCATTTTCCAGATACACCACAGGAGTGTCCACCTGGACATACAGAAGCCAGTTTAGTGCATCCTCGGCATTTAACTGTAATTAGAATGATGACCACTTGGTGGCATTGTATAACTAGGTATCAACATGATATACACAGAGCTAACATGTAGCGACATTTACGTTTACTGTAAGTGGGAATTGAGGACAACAAACTCACAGGATTACTATCTTTAGTCCAGGTAATTACTGGGGAGGGGATCCCAAAGGCATCGCAGCCCAGAGTGAGAGGCTGCTTCAAGGTGACAGTGAGGTTCAGTGGCTGGCCATCATCTTGGATCTCAGGAGGAACTAAAGTAGTGCAGGAAGAAAAGAATTATTTGAGTACTATCCATTTTTTTTAACAGAAGAAAAGGTAGGCAAACTAAATTCTCACCATTGACTTTTAACCTAGTCTTTCTCTCCACAGAGCCTGCTTCATTGGTTGCCACACACTTGTAGTCCCCACTGTAGCTGGCAGATGCTGTGCTAATTACTAGAGCTCCATCCCTCGCCACAGAAAACTCTGATTGTTCCGGATGTATCTCCAGGCCATTCTTGAACCAGCGAACCTTAGGATGAGGTGAACCTGCAGGTGAAGGGACATAGATTCAGAGTGAGCATAAAAAGGAGCATCACTGATCACATTTGACAGATAGAGAAGTTATTTCCCTCTCTCTCCACTTCTCTACAGGAGAATTTAATGGGCAAGCAGCCCAGACTAGAAAAAGGCAGCTCTACATTTATCTGCTGGACAGCAGGACAGCAGGTGGGGCCATGCCAAAATGGCTTGAGTCCTTGTAGTCTGAAAGCTTAAGATTTCAAGGTCAGAGTCACATAAAATAGTAAGATGCAGCATGCTGGAGAGATGTAACATATAAGATTTAAATACTAGCATAAAGATTTATTACCAAAGACTGCAGTGAGAGTCTTGAGCAGTAATAATAAGGGTGGTTGAACAAGCAGTTCAAAAGCACTGGTGCATACACTCAGGAGCCTGAAACAGATGTGTTTTGTGGATTACTGGGTGGAAAAGAGCTGGAAATGATCAAGAAGAAAAGATTTTGTACCCAACACAAGGAAAGAACAGAGAAGCCAGTTAACAGAGAAGCACAGAGGAGTGACACTAATGCCACAGCTCTGTCTATTTACAGAGGTCTTACATATGCAAACACCACATACAAGGTAGGGAAATCAAACAGAGTCCAAAACAGAACAACCACAGGAGATGCAACACAACCACAGGTGATGTTATCATCCACTGCCTCTCTGAACACATGTTTACAGTTAAGGAGAGCTGAAGCTAATTCATTATCTGATTGCTGGGAGGAAATGCATACAGATGTTCTGTTTTAGACGTTAACAGATCTCATTAGTAGACTTTCAATTTAATTGCTGGGGCTGACAAAGTCACAGATTACCTCTTCCATGTGTATCTCAAATAATTACCTGTATCAAATGCAATGCACTTGTTGGCTAATTAATAACATCCTTCTGGCACACTGTGCTTTATCTCCCTCATACAGATAGACCTCAAAAGAACAGTGAGGGGATCCTTGTTTCCTACTGCCAGCTGCTTCTCCAGGGTGTCACGAGCATCAGTCATTTCTGTGTGAGCACCTCTGAGGCCTGGTCCCTGCCTGACTGTACAACTTGGTTGGAAGGACAGCGTCCTCTTTCTGTGTACACCTTAGGCCTCAGACATCTCTGTCCTTTATCTGCCAGCAGCAGCAGCCTATAATTACGATTCTTCTCCCAGCAGGCCCCGACACAGTGGAAAGCAGATGTGGCTCACAGAGGCAGTAGGCAGACTGATGTTCCAGCTGTTGCTCCACATTAGACACTCTCCTCACCTTCTTTCACTGAGCTGGTTACCATGGCACGGCTCCATGCAAACAATGCCTGTTTGCATGGGCTGTCAGAGTGTAAGTATCAATTAGCAGACATACACCACCGCTAGTTGTTAAATCCCTTCAGGATGCTACCAGACAAGAGCGTATCTCTAGGTGCTGTGGTAAAAAGAAGCTGTACCTTTTAAGATGGCAAGGGTGTTTTTCCTCTTCTGACAAATAGAAGTCTACACTCACAACAAAACATTCCTTTGATGGTGCACAAATTCATGTATCTGTCCTTAATTTAAAGTAAAAATTTCCCTTATGTCATAAAAATAAACCTGAAAAAGGACACATCAATTTTAAGCTCCAAACCCTTTTCCTAAACTGCAGATGTTCTATTGCTCTATTCTTTATAGTCTGTCAGAGGCTGACTCATCTGTGAATCATTTCATACCTTTAGCAGGGCAAGGGATGATGACCTTGCTGTTTGCTACTTTCTCCATGATGGCATCTCCAGGTTCCGCAAAGGATGGGGCCTCTGTGTGGACAGAAAAGCATATTAAATACTGGTTTAGAGTGCAAGGGCATTTGATACAGTGAGCATTACATTACGTGTAGCAAAGATTAGTGAGAGTTATTAATAAATGTTCCAGTGTACAGTAGGTAGAGAAGCCTTCGGAGCATCTAATGGCCTGTTGTGGGTGTAAGATTTAAGACTTCTCATAGGTGCACTAAAAATGTGTTATATTGCCAACCTCAGTCTAAGTATTAGTAATATAGATCAGGTTGGTGCTAAGGGGAAATTATTCTAATACAAAATGACTCTTGGTTTCTGACTTGGTGACTGTGACTCAAATCCCCAGTTAACCTTAGACTTGATCCAACCAGTTCTTTTCTAGGTTAACCTCTGATGGCCAGATAGTACTTAAACCTCTATCACCAACAGTCAGGCTGATGTCTAATTAGTAACTATGTTTAATCAGGTAGTCTCGGATCAAAATCCTTTATCCAATTATCCCCTTATATACACACTTTGGTGTTGTATATTTTGTTTGTTTTAACATCAGCTCCAGACAAAAATGAGCATTTTTGCTAATTCTGACACATTTACATTCATAAAATGTTGAGCAGTGTGTACTGTCCCTTTTTAAGTAATTAAAAACTCCTTCCTGGAGTGACTGTCAGAAAACATGCACTGTTATCCACATGTTTGAACAGCTATTAAACAATCTTGATTTCTGATGTGGTCAAACAACATGCTGTGCGTACATAGAGTTACTGTACCTCAGGAAAGTGCATCTCTAAAGACTAGGAGAGCCTAAAACTGGGACACTATCAGTGTATATAAATGTTCACATGACCTGCTATGAAATAGATGTTTAAATAGATCTGACAGTGCAAACATGAGTAGCAATATTCTATATGTGCTTACTCTCAGAGTGAAAAAACAGGGTTTGAAGAACTGAACTGATATTCACCAAGAATTTCCAGTTTGATCTCCAGGGTCTCCTGTCCAGCACTGTTCTGGGCCACACACCGGTAGGTGCCCCGGTCAGCGAGGCTGACCTGTAGGATCCTGAGGGGTGTATTGTTCTTGACACCAACAGGAAGGCCATTGTGAAACCAGCTGACTTCAGGGCTTGGCTCACCCTGGACCACACATGGTAGAGTCACTGTTTGGCCAGCAAGGGCTTTCAGGATTGAAGGCGCAGGTTGAATCCTGGGCTTAGCTGAGGACAAAACAAATCACCTAAATGCATGTCACAGCACATCTGTTAGACACCTATATACCTCATATATTGTACACATGCTACAAGTGATGTATTCACACCATTTTAAAGACACTAATTTTAAGGTTTCTAACTTTCTAATTAGGCACCATGGTGTTACCTTGAATGTGTAAATTGTAGCTTAGGGACACGTTGCCTGCTGGGTTTTCTGCAGTGCAGGTGTACAGCTTACTATCAATCAGGCGCACATCAGTGATCTTTAAAGAGCCTGAAGGCAAAACGGTGAACCTGGGGAGTAGTTAGGGGTCAAGGGCAGACAGACGGAGAAAACACAAAGCTTCATAAGACACTGATGATCTACTGCCACTGTGCTTTGGGAGAAGAGGTTTTCCTGTTTTGCAGTGCTATTTTTTTCTCATGTCCTATTTATACTGTGGAGAATGCATTGCTCATACATACAGGAAATGATGAAATATTTATCAAGGCTGTCTGATGTTTACCGTATTGAACAGGCAATACTACTGTATATACAGTTGGGTGTAAAAGTCTGCATCCCCTTAGGTTAGGGAGGACATACAGAGTATTAGAGAACATTTGAACTGACATGATTTTCATTATTTTACTATAACTTTCTTTTTATACACTCCCTGACCATTTTGTTACTTCTGTTGATGAAGGAACATTTGTACTAGCTGAATATGCATTAAATACTTATGTCTTTGTGTTACTCTTTTTGCCATTTCAAAGTAAGGGGATGCAAACTTTTGCACCCAAGACCAACCAAAGAAGCACTTTTAATCCTGTTACTATTTTTTGTGGAAAATGCCCCAGTACAGCTGCTGCCAGAGACTCACTGACTAGTACACATTTTGAGAAAATATTTAGTAAAAAGAATGAGGTACAGTGTTCACTGGGTTGTATTTTCTTCACTTTTGATGTGATTTGCTGAGCTCTAAACACATGAGAGAACATAGCGGGAATACACAAGTTGAAATATAGTGTAAAGGTGCTGACTTTACATTTGGCTGCAATAAAGCATAATGGGACTCTGATGGGTAAAGTTTTAAATAAGAAAGCACTGAAAGGAGTCTTGGCCTCAGTCAGGACCTTGTAATGTCCCCAGTGACTTGTTACTTTGCCATTGCCTGTGATAATTACAGTGTAAAAGAGCAGCCAAAGTTTGACCTGATGGTGTCACTGTGGGAAAGTTCAGTCAGTGCATTTCTTCCTGTTGGAACCAATAATGTGTGGAATCAATACTATGTGTTTATCTAAGGGTCAGGAAATACAAATAATTTGATAGTGCAGGTCTCCATAATTAATATGTCTCGTCCTCCTGACAGCATCCATGTTGAAAGCAGTTTATGTAAAGCCATTTGTTTTACAGATGTTCGCCATAGGGAAACAAGTGGATGGATGGACATGATCATTTACACTGACTTCATCTCCAAAAACACCCTTTGTAGCAAAAACAGCAGCAACAGTTAAATGTAGGTAAATGTAGTTAAATGTAGGACAGCAGTTGTAGAGAGGTAAGTGGTACACTAAATTGAACTAGAAGGTCTCCAGCTTTGTAAATGCTTAATATACACAAATGTAAACACACCACTGTGATTTATCTTAGATAAGTGTGTCTGCTAAGTAACTGAATTATAACAGTTACATGTTCATGTAAATGAGCTGGAAGCACAAAGGACTCTCTATTTTAGCTGCACATACAGTATGGTTTAAATATCGCTTCCCTACCTCCTTAAACGGCCACCATTTAACATTGTAACCAAACGACTGCCTCTGCAGTGGTCAGTCTGTGCTCAGACTGCAGTGCTGCTGCTCAGCATTCCCACTATAAAAACTGACACAGGCTCAAGACATGAAACACCCCACTCGCCCATCCATCACTCCCCACACTGGTGTCAAGTCATCTGTTTACACAGTCAAACACAAAGACTAAATGGGTGAAATGGGCCTCGTCAGGATTAGGTTTACAGCGAACAAATCCACTGAACCAGAGCTGAGAAGCTCTGTGTCTTCACCCACTCCTTTCTGTGTTTTTTGCAGTACTAGACTAAATACATGGCTGTGGTAGAAGTCTTACTGCCCACTGATTTAAGTTATTTCAACAATCGGCACCCCTGGTCGTTTCCTCTGTCCCACAGAGTTTAACCAGAGAGAATAAATCTCCCTTTACACAGCTTGCATGTGCCTGTAGGTCCCGCATATGCAAAGCATGGGTTGATGTGGGGGTTGTTCACAGAGATGTGTTATTCTCATCAGACAGGACTAGTAAAGAGTCAGCATGTTGTTTTACTGTCAAAGCACCCCAGGGAGTTTGAACATCAGACGGACACTGCTTGTATCTCTTCCTCTGTCAGTTCGTTTACCTCCCCTCTTCCTGGCACCCCCACTACACTCCCACTTTCTTTTTTTCTGCTGGCCTCACACAAGTCATACTGTATGTGAGTCATCGCAGCCTTCAAACCCCCTCCATTATTCTTCTGTCTACCCAATACCATTCAGTCTGGTGTCTGGCCTGGAGAGTCCGTCTGTCATCTATCCAGGCTGTGTTGCGAGCCAGCCAGCCTGTCTGCACACAGAGTGACCACACATGAAAGCTGGGAATCAATGAATCGTGTGAGACCAGATGTTTCTCCTCAGTTTAGCCAACACGAAGCCCGCACACAGCTCTCCAGTGGACTGTAGCTGCCTCTTCCTAGCTGCCCTTCAAAAGACATCAGTAAACAACCTCGAAGCATAAGGGGCCGCTCTGAATGGCAGCTTCAGCCAGAGACACAAGGCTAAGTCAGAGGTAAGCTATGGTGAGAACCTATATCTGATGTTTAATTTTACTACATCATTGCTAGAGTGAGGTAAGACTTCCTCCTACCCAGCTGTGACAGGGGGGATGGGATGCCCATTTCTGCTCCATGTGACTAGTGGAGAAGGGCTCCCCTTGGCCTCACATGGGAGAACAACTTCTGTCCCCACCTCTGCAGCCATCTTCACTGTGTTGTCATGACCACTCACACCCATGATCTTAGGCATTGCTTGAAAAAAGGGAAAGAAGTTGTAATTGTAATTCAACCTGCTTTGTAGCTCTAAACATGAAAATTGTAACTCTGAACATCATCTGCAGACAGAGTTCAGACATTGTGAGATAAAATAATGCTATGTTTGGGTGACTGTGGTCAGACTTTTATTTGCCTTACTGTTGACGCTGAGCTGGATCTCTCGGCTGGCATAGCCTACAGGACTGGTAGCAGTGCAGATGTAGATCCCTGCATCATCAGCAGTGGGTTGGAGGATGTGGAGGTGTCCATCAGGATCAGGCTGAAGAGTGGAGGGGTCTTTGGGCAGAGGCTGCCTCCCCTGGAGGAACAGCAGGCACAGTACCAGGCAGAATATTACTGTAGATTCAAGCTGTCCACAACAGTGCAGAGACACTAAGCTTAGTTTGAAATTTACAGCCCCATCTTTGATGCTTAATGTAATGACAGAGCACCCTTTCTCCATCCCCAGTGCATATACATGAGAATTCAGCCTGCTGCACATGCATTTTCTTGAACATAAAATGTCTTTTGCAGATTCACTTTTATCTGACAAAAAAATTAATTTACTTGACTCATTTGAGATAAATACAAAGGAAAGAATTCTGGCTCAATTCAACACCGTCTAGGAAACAACAGCATGTTGACCTCACTCAGTAATGCTGTGGTAAGTCCCATGATTCTTGTCTGTTTATTTCCTCATGGGAAAGGTCAAATCATTTCCTTTAATTATTGTAGATTGGTCAAATCCACTACGTGCTGATACGTCTCACAGGATCATATTGTAGTCTGATAGAACGGCGGCATACTGTATCACCTTTAGGGTTTTCTCCTCATAATGTGATTCTTTTTGTTCCAGTCTTGAACTGAAAGGTGCTGCAAGAAAGGTTTTTAATAGCTTTCTAAGGCACAATAAAATACTCAGTGATTTCTCAGTCGAGCAGCAATATGGTGAAGTTGCCATGGTTACATCCTTCCTGGTCAGGTTAATCAAGTCTTGATTGCAATGGAAACTGTTATTGGTGGTGGTGTTATTAGAGTGTTTGACAAACCAGAGAAAAATAAGGTCAAAAGGAGACATAGTATGTGTGTGTGTGTGT